TTTTCTTCTTTTCTTACAATAATGGGATCGTTTCAGCTAAAAATGACAAAATTAATATTGCTAGAGTATTCGCCTCATTCATCGGTTTGCAGATAACTTTAGAAAATCCTTTTCAGCTTCGAATTTGGCACAAAAACAAAATAATTTTATTCAGTTTTTCACCGAAAGTAATTAAGATTATCTTGAAAAAACGACCAGAGAGCAAAAGTTTACAAAAATAATTTGAAAATTTCGCCGCCCATCGCTCATCGCTCTGAAGATTTTTCAAGTACTTTTAAATTGTCAGGTCGTTCCAGTTTTAACTAAGTTTCTATTAAGCAATTCTTTCCACGCAAAAATCGCATTATTTTTTAGTTTTACTTAAAATACTGACAATATTCAGGTATTTTCTGTGAAAAATTATACACATATACATAATGAGACACATTTTATTGGAACCCTCGCCTCCTTAACCGCTTTGCAAAAATGTTTAGAAAACTTTTCGCAGCTTCGAATTATGGGCAAAACCTGTCTGGGTATTTTTCCAAAAATATTTCCCCGAAATGAATAAGCGAAAGTTTATAATCATTTATTTGGAAAACTCTTGGAAACTGAGGTTTCTTCACTTTTAGGTCAATATTTCTAAGCAACACTGTCTCTAAACAGAAAAACCGCGTTTTTTCTAACGTTTTACTATAAAATACTGGCAAACTGAATCTTTTATACAAAAAAATTAAGAGATCGATTTTACAAGAAAACTCGTCGACTTTCTTTGAACTCAGTTCTGTTGATGGTTAAATCTAAATAACTTTTTTTAGTTGTTTGGAAAAAGTAGTAAAACGTTACTAAGCAAAAATGTGAATGACCTTTTTTTCTTAGATGTGAAAAGGTGTTCCAGTCTCGAGTCACGTAAAGCTTTAATAAATCACATATAACTCATGAACCGATGAGTTATAACTCGTTAACTCAGAGAGCGGCAACAACTCAATAGCGCAACTCAACACAGTGTTACCCAAGCCTAAAATAAATCATGGTAGGAGCGTTTTTTGGTCACAGACTTGAAATCAAGCAACTTATTTTGGGTTTCGGCTACAAAATCATCTTGATTATATTTAATTAAGGACAAGCATTCGACAATATAAGGAAATTTTTAAGTCAGGAAAGTCGAATGATTGAATGGTGTTTTATAAGATTTCGTGCATTCGAAGAGTAATGCACTCATTTCCTTCTCTAAAGGTAGTAAAATTGTGTCTTGTAGAACGGGAAAACGTGGAGGCATTCGGAAAGATTTAATTTGAATTTTTAAGAACGATGAACATTTATAGAACAAAGAAATATTTTCATAAAAGTGCCTTCAAGTTCTTAATAGTTAACAGCGCCATTTATAATTCTCAAAATACCGATGTAAAACAAATTAATTGAAATTTCAATAAGAAAATGGAATAAAGATGACTTTTAATTCAAAACTCATGTTCGAGTCTTCAAACACACAAAAAACAGCTTTTGAAATTATCAACAATTTTTATTTTTCATAAAATTGTAAAAATTTGCGTGTCTCGTTATCCAATCATATTCTTCAACTTACTGCTCAATTCATTAGCTTTGCAAAGATGTCTAATTAACAAATATGGACAGAAATTTTACGTATTTCTGAAAAAAATTTGCAAAACTGGTGCTAAATCCATATAGGCAAGCAATAACAAACTCGTGGCCGTAAAAGATTAACGAGCCCCAGAACGGAATGATGAGTAGAATAATCTAACATGATTTATAATCGTTATTCGTACAGTCAATTAACTATAAGATTCCCCGAGATCATCCTACACCATTAACAATTTAATTAGCGTGTTCTCGGATAGTTACATACAGTGCCGACATAAATAACCATAATATTCTCGATGCAAGAAAGTAATAAATTCGAGATACACAACCATATAAATAAGGAGTTGTTTTATTTTTATATTACCGAGCCTATTAACCATCATCCGTTATGAAATCTTTTTCATGGTTTACCCCAATAAAAATGTTTAAACACATCAATCTGGTTGTCTTCTAAAACTAAACCTATTGCCGTATCTTACGGGTTATCGTCTCATAAATATACTTTTTTGCCGTCCCGTATGAACGGCATCGCACTAGGGGATTATGGACCCCGTACGGCTCATAAATTTGGAAATATTCCTGGGAAGGTTGTGCATCTTATTTAACTGCTTGGGTTTTGTTTCATCGCATTTTTTCTCACATGCGGTCTTCTTTATTTTATCTGATCGGCTCTTTAGTATAACACCTGTGATCAAAAACGTCTCACAAAAACGCTCTCGGAAGTTGTCTAGTTGGCAAAATATCATAAACGTTTTTCGAACCAGGCTGTTGCTTTCCAAATAAAAATCCTTAAAAGGCGGTTTCGTTCCTTTGGATCCCCCCGATACTTTTGTACATTTTCCAACTATTTAACCAGCGGTTTATTGCAATTCTTGGCCCAAACCATCTAGAAAATTTTTGCTGCTGTTGTTTCCATCAGCTCTTCATAGTAACATTTTCAAACACATTCCCGATTTGGTTTAACTTTTTTGCTTCCACTCTCTACAAAGTATGAATTACCCGACCACTTCTATAATATGCCTTCATTTATAGGTCGAAAGCCTATTTCCATCTATCAGAGTTAGTCCAGTCGCCCCAATCCCGCGGGAACACTGGAATGGATAAACGGGAAGAGCTGGGCAGAGTTTATTGCCTGGAGAAATCTTCGCAATTAAATCAGTAAATATCCTTTTCCGAGGGTCAGGAGATTTGGCTCAAGTAGGACAGGTTGAACTGAAAGTTGCAGGAAATGGCCATCTGACTTCCGTCCGGTCCTTTTAAATTGCCTTGCCTGATGGCGAAAAATGTTTTGTGTAAGGGTTTATCCTGCGTCTAAGTACTTCTAGGCTAGAGCGGAGCGAGTGCGGCATAATTCGTTTATTTTTCCCGCTGTGCTAAAGTAGGAGATGTGTTTTAACACTGTCTAAAATAATATATTACCAACATCATAGTTTTCTCGGAAAAATTCTAAGATAACACATTTGGTCACGATCGGCTATTTTCTTAGGCTCTCGACTTGACTATCCACCTACATGTAGCAAATGGAGACGCTTGGAATATATTGTTATTTTTCATCTTTGAACTGTCCTCTTCATCGGCTATAAAAACATCTAAATCGCTTTATTGTCCGACATAATCATTGGAAAGTACCGTTAAATATGAAACTTCCACTTGACATATTAGTTAACGATGTGAGAATAGTCTATTAAAGTAGTTAAAAATAACGGCTTTGAATGATTGGCAATTAGCGCCTGTAGGTACTTCTAAGCCACAAATAAACTATTTTCATCAAGTCTTAAAAACTTATAAATTAATTAATTGTTCACTGCCAGAAACCAAACAAATTAATTTTACTTTGAAAAAATCATACAACAACCGCCAGTATTGAAGCTGATCAATAAACATGTGCTATATAAATAATAAATAAATAAGTGACTGAAATTTATTGCAAATAATCAACGCACACACACAGTACTGCCTATTTTTTATTAATTATTTTCATTGAAAGCGCTTAAGGATTTTATCAAAAAAACATTGACAACATTGGCTAAGAGTAGTGAGTTTGCAGCAATAATTCACAGATTCACACATCACGATAGTTTTAGTTTCAAATGAGCCACTTAAGTGTTTGAGCGCTTCTAATAGTTTCGTTGGCACTGGTAAGAATTAGTTTAAGCTGCCCACTTAAAACTCGCAGCAAAATAAAGCTTTTAAATGGCTTCATCTAGGATGAAATCAGCTAAACCACATATTTTCTCTCCAGTCGACAGTCGAGTAGCATTGTTTTAATTCAGCAGTTCGCTTTGTTCATTATGATAAAGTGTTCAGTGTTGTCATATTGAGCTTTTTTCCATTCTTCTATACAAGAGTGGTAAGAAAACGAGTAGTTCTCAAATCACTTGCAGACTTTCAAAATTGAAACACTAAGCTCAGGGAAAAGAGACAATTTATATTATTTTTGAATCAATTTTCTCGACAAAAATTGATTGGATTTTTTAAGTATGACTGGCGAAATTTGAAACTTTATTCACTGATTATTCTTTAATATGTTATCAAAAAAAATATTTTAAAATAGGCATAGAATGGCTTTAGTATCGATATGTCAGCAAAATGTTTACGAAAAGATTACTGAAGGTAGCTTTCAAAATTAAGGAAAAAACCACGAAATGAAAAGCTTTAAACAAAACAGTTTTAATATTAAATTCGCGCTTTTATCCAATATTGTTAGTTACATTCTAAATTACAACCAATTAACGCGATTGAATACAAATCCAAATTCAAATAGTCACTATAGAAAAAAGCAACTTTTCAAACAAACATTTTAATGCTTTTTTAAAGAAATTATATAATTCCACACATTAATGTGCTGATAGAGAGTGCGCCTAAAGATCGTCTAGATGAACACGCCCGAACATCTCCTCTGTTTCATACCAGACATATAATTATTTAACATTTTTTAAAATATTTTTTGAAGCATGCGTCATATTTAGCACAAATGTACGAAGTGAAATATTTAAATATCATGTAGTTTTTCAGTTAATTAATACGTTGTTAGTAGATTTTTTAGATTCGATCATTTGCTTAGAAAGTGTTTTTAAAAAATATAAGTGGAGCATTAAGAAGTTCCCGATAAGTCGGGGCCAGCAAGAATATTTCCGACATACATTGCATATAATAATAGTAAACTCTGCTTGTGTTGTACGCCACTTGAAAAACAGGTACAATTTTGGATCAGCGTCGAAAGTATTCGTAAAAGAATTGTTTTTCTTTAATTCTCAATAGAAAAAACTTAAATATCCTATTTTCAATGATTTTTCGTGAAAACGTACTAGAAATGAAGCATTTCTCTGAGTGAATAGATCCAGATGCGCCACTGTTTATTCATTTGAATCGAAATGCGAAAAAATGTCGCAGCCAAACACAGACGGATTAAAACGAGACAAGCAGTAGATGGCAAACACGATTTTGCTATTAAATTTAGAAGAGCAGCAAAATTAATTTGGCCCGCAGTGTATAATGCTTAGTGCACAATGCTATTTCTGAAATGGGAAGCGCGGTTTTGGGGCTTATATCTAATCTTCGGAAATGTAAATAATACAGTGTCTTTCGCTGATTAACTCTGCCGTGAGAAATTGTCGAGTGGCAAAGCTGCAACAACCTTACCAGTCTTACCAGAGTGGAATAAGTGAAAAAGATCTGACCTGGCGTATGTATTGTGTAGTCCCTTTGTTTTTAGAAAATTATTTCAGTATTTTTATTGCAAATTAGAGAGTGAAAAAATTATAATATAATAATTTAAAAAATTCGGCCCAATCTAATTTCAAACACTTAGAAAAACAACATTTTAAGTTACTCTGTTTATTCGAAGACAAATCGCTTGGTGAAAAAAGCGTATTCTTTTAAAATAGTGAGCCGAAAATAACAGAAAAATATTATGATGAAAGAACAAGTGATGAAGAGCCATGTTTCTTAAGCAACACGCCTATAAATTGAAAACACTTATTGAGAATTGTAAATATTAACTCGCAATTATTTTATTTCAGTTCCTTCCAAGTATAGCTTGCGGCCAAATTATGAGCTCTAAACAACCCGCAATAAATTTTGGCGCTGGCCCTGGAAAAATACCGAATGAGGTAAGTCGTCCTGCTTCTCCGAAAACAACCAATTGCTTCATAAAAAAGCTCCAATCTTCACATTAAAAACTTGCTAAATATTGCACGACAAATATTCAAAATGTTACTAATTTACCGAAAACATGGCATTCTTCCTGCAGGTCTTGAGGGCAGCTCAGGAAGAATTTCTGTCCTACCAGAATATGGGATTCAGTGTAACTGAACTGAGTCATCGATCACAAGCTTATGCAGAAATCAATGGCAATGCTGAGAGTAATCTACGAAAATTACTGTTAAGTACCCTCCTATTCATAAACACGAGATATAAATTTTAGATTTTTTTACAAACTGTTTGTTGGATATTTCGCCTCAAAAATGTGTGTCTTTAAAAAAGACAGAATTTGAAAAACAAATTTTTTCAAATGAAATAAATTTCGCAATCATTTCTTATTGCGAAATAGGAGCACTATTTATCAATCTGTAATAAAAGACGTGAGAAAATTCTGTCTTTTTTAAACACAGAAATTTTTGAAGCGAAATACCCAATAGACAGTTTGTAAAAAAATGAATCCGCCTCAACAACAAGAAATACTAGTTTTGATTTTTATAAGCAGGTTTTTCGTTTTACAATAGAAATGTTCCTGTAAATTACAACATTTTATTCGTTCATGGGGGTGGACAAGGGCTGTTTTCGGCAGTTGCAATGAATCTATTGAAACCGACTGGTACTGCCGATTACGCGGTTGCAGGTTGTACCAACTGCTCACTTTTGCTCAAATCTAAGAGTAATCGCAAACATTTTTTCAGGAATTTGGTCTCACATCGCCGCAACTGAAGCAAAAAAATACGGCACTATCAACTATGTTTTTCCCAAGCCATCATCTTCCGGTATTATTCCAGACGAGGCAAGTTGGAGTCTTAATCCCGACGCTTCATATGTTTACTACTGCGATAATGAAACGATTCAAGGTTTGGCCCTATTTACCCAAGAAAACCGTTGGAGAATAAAAAACTTGTTCTAGGCATAGAATATCCGTTTGTTCCTGATACCAAAGGAGTTCCATTGGTCGTGGACATGTCCTCCAGCATCATGACCAAAAAAATCGATGTTTCCAGGGTAAGTTTTCCTTGCAAATCCTGCCATGAGTTGACTACTCTTGCTTCAGTTCGGGGTAATCATAGCAGCAGTTCAGAAAAACCTTGGAACTGCAGGACTGGGTATAGTCATCATCCGGGAAGACCTATTAGGGCGCGCAATGGACATATGCCCTTCCATCCTCAACTTTGAGCTTCTCTCAAATTATGCCTCTATTTTAAATACTCCTCCAGTATTTGCGTAAGTTCTTCAACTGACGAAGTCAGTTGAAATAGATGGATCCTTAAAGTGGATATTACTATTCCAGGGTGTATCTCTTCGGCAAAGTTCTGGAATGGGTAAAATCCCATGGCGGTTTGGAAGCGATGGAAGAACAATCCAAGAGGAAAAGCGAATTGCTTTATACCACGATTGACGGTTCAAGCGGTTTTTACCAGAACTCAGTGCCTGTGCGGAACCGCAGCAAGACGAATGTGCCCATCCGCATAAAGAATGGCGATGAAGGGTTAGAGGAGGAATTTTTAAGAGAAGCTGAAGAAAAGGGCATGTACCAGCTGAAAGGCCACAGTTTGGTTGGAGGAATCAGAGTGTCTCTATATAATGCCGTTTCATACGAAGATCTGCTCATATTGATTGATTTTATGAAGGAATTTCTAAAAAATCACTCGGAAACTGGCTAGAAAATTATAGAACATTTAAAAATGTTCACAGTTTGGGACAGTTGAAACATTTTTCGGTTTGTATCGATGTTTTTTTTTGAGCTCCTAATGTGAATGTGTGAATGAACATTAATAAAAAAAATTGCGCTTCACACCCCAAATCAACGTGTCATTCTCCATATGACAGGAATTTTTGCGATACCAAATGAAACTAGAATGCAACAGAACAACTATTGCGTCGAAAATTAATAAAGCTTGAAAAATTTGATACCCTCAAATGCAGCAAGTCTCCTAGAATTTCTAACGACTAACGAGCCCAACAGCACTTAAGCCTTTAACTGATTACACTGAAGAATCACAGTCGATTATTATGAAAGGAAATATCAGTGTATTTCATCGTAGGACAGTGATTTAAACTTTCAGTAATGTTCTCGAGTACTCCTCCGCTCGCCGAATGAGACAATCAAGAAAACAGCGAGATAAGCTAACGATGTAAATTAAGGGCGCAGTGACTGATGGTCATTCCGAAGAGATTAATTAATTAATCATTCAGAAAGCGACGCGACTAATGAAAACTTGGACAGAGGCGTAGATGAATCAACGTTTTTTTTCTTCAACTAAAGTAGCACAGCAAAAGCGAGTGCAGGATAAAAGAAAGTTGATGTAAACTGCATTTTAATGACAAAGCTCAAGATTGTTTGCGTGTTTATTTTATCCGCTAGAGTCTTTGTAATTATCTGAAAATATTTCTGCTCATCTCAAGCTCTTCAGTTCCAACCAAACCCAAACATCTTCAGTTTGAAAAGTTCCACTGGAATTAAATGTTTTTTGATTAGTTTGCAAAATTGTGCGTGCAACACATGTTGGTTTGGTTGGAATCGGTTTATCGAGAATTATTTACTCAAAAAAACTATACGAATATTTCAAGTGTAGTTTTCTAAGTGTATTTCCCGGTTAGTTTCACGAATAACACTTTTACTTAAGAGCACTTGCTGACAACGCAAAAATACAAAAAACATGGAAGAATCTAAGAGACAAATTGTTTGTGCAGTTTTCTTCGATTCCTGCTTGACTCACCGAGTAAATGGGCCTTTTATGCGAATATTTAAAGCAAAATAATGCATCGTAATATTTATGGCAATTTACTGTAACCATTATACATGACAAGCCATTTTATTCCGTGCCTTACTTGCAAACATATTTTTTACTCCTTGTAGTTAGCATTAAGGAAAACTCGCAAATTCATTGTATATTTTACAAAATATTGATTCGTAGGTTTACCAGTGGCTGTATGTTTGCAAAAAGCATTCATAGATTTTCTAAGATTCCGCGGTTTCATCTGGTTAAAAAAGTTTTCTTCTACGCCAAAGTCTTACAGGCTCTTTTGAAGTTTGTAAATAAGCCAATTACGAAAACCATATTTTCTTGACTAAATGATTCCAGTTGAATGAATAGAGAAAATAGATACATCAAAGTTTACGAACGGAGTTAAAAAATGTACTTCGTAAATTATGCCTGGGTAACTATGAATTTTTAGGAGTCGGCGCAGTCCTACTCACATGGCTTGGTCCGCCAACCCAACGCACCGGCGCAGTAACTCAGTTCCGTTGCTGGGAAAATGCTGATGACTTTTTTACTTGTTTTTAGATTTATTTTAAGGGCCATTTATCAGTGATATTTTTAAAATTTCTTCAAAATTTCAAAATTTTTCAGTTTTAGCAAAGTTACTCTTTTTTTCTAAATGTTCAATTTTCTAAACATTCAGCTAAAAATGCTGACAATCTTAAGATATTTTTTGCTAAAAATTATGAAGTAAATTTTGTTAGAACACTCGGCTCCTTCATAACTTTGTAAAAAGTTTCGAAATTCCTCTCCAGCTTCAAATTTGGCACAAAAATCAAATAATTTTCTGTCAAAAAACGAACTGAATAGGAGAGAGAGAACTCACTTACATTCCTCTGAAAACTGGAGTTTGTTAAAAAATGTGATGATCAGAACAGTGTAAGCCTTCAAACAAACCACTTCTGAAGATGCAAGCCACTCGTGCTTGCGAAACGTCAAGAAGAAATTCTACCCAACGACGGCCTAAAAACCCGAAAAACCCATTAGTTTCAATCAATCCTCAGGTATTTTCCGCGAAAAATTATGAAATAAATTTTATTCGAATATCGCCTCCTTCGTCCCGGGAAAATGTTGACGACTTTTTTTACTTGTTTTTAGATTGATTTGAAGAGCAACTTGTTAATTAATGTAAATTAATGTCTTCAGAATTTTCCAGTTTTTCTTAAGTTTCACTTAAAAATGCTGACAGCCTTGAGATATTTTTCGCGAAAAATTAAATTAATTTCGAATCAGTCGTCGCTTTGTAAAAAGTTTCGAAATTTCTTTCCTGCTTCGAATTTGGTACAAGAATCAAATAATTTTCTATCAAAAAATGAACAGAATCAGCGAAAGTATATAACAAATTATTTGGAAAACTCGTCACCTCCATTCCTTTGAAGACTGTAAAGCTTGTTAAAAAAACTGTGTTTTTTTTGTGTTAACTGATTGTTTTTGCTTTACTTTCCACTCAAAAACACCTATTTTGTAGCGTTTCACTTAAAATACTGACGATCTGGAGGTCTCCTACGCGAAAAATTACACGATAAATCTATAGCTTTGTAGGAATTTTACAAAAACTTTTTTCAGCATCAAATTCGGGACAAAAACGAAAATAAATTTTTTCCGCTTTTTCCCGAAAATTATTAAGATTTTCTCAGCAACCGATCACAAAAATTTAAAGTTTTTTTTGGAAACTTTTCGCATCTTCGAATTATGGACAAAACCTGTCTGGGTATTTTTCCGAAAATACTTCCCCGAACGGAAAAAGCGAAAGTTTATAATCATTTATTTGGAAAACTCTTGGAAACTGGGGTTTCTTCACTTTTAGGTCAATATTTCTAGAGAAAATCGATCTAAACAGAACAACGCGTTTTTTCCTAACGCTTTACTGTAAAATACTGGCAAACTGAGAGAATTTTAAGCAAAAAGTGTTTTCAAAATCTCCGAATTTTCGCGTTTTGGACCCAATAGTTTCAAGCAATCGTATGGGCAATATGTTGCTGGCTTTTTTTGCTAGATATTAAAATTCCGTCTCCGGCCATGAGTTATAACTCATTAACCAATGCGTTAAAACTCATTAACTCAGAGAGCGGCAACAACTCAAAAGCGCAAATCAGCACAGTGTTACTCAGGCCTATCGTAAATTAACTGCGTAAAAAAATCGACTTTGCTGACTTGTTAATTGCAAATCAACACCGATGCTTTGAATTTGTCCTTTTATGCCCTTTTTTATGCAAGAATGTATCAAAGAAATTTAACAAAACTAAAGTGCGCCACTGTTTCAAGATAGGTAGGTACTCCATAAGATAAGCCAATTCAGTGCCAAACGAACATGTTTATTTCGCTGTTCAGAGCCGAGAAATATTAATTGTCCAATACCGAAAACATGAAACGTGGTCGGTGCTAATAAATGACTGCATTAATGTGATATAATGTAATCGTATATACCGGGTCATGTAAAAATCCGACGAGTTCCACTTTGGTAAATTGGAATCTAAAACTCTGTATGGAAATGGGCATTGGTGGGTCATGTAGGTGGGACCAGAGGGTGTTAAGGCGTTACTACTGCACTTTTAATGTAAAATTGATTTATGACAACAAAAAAATCTGATATTGTTTGTCTTCCACAAAACAACCGCGTACAATTAAATGTTGAGAAGTGGAGAACAGCTAAAACCGGCTAATCTGCATTCCAAATTGAGACTTCCACGTCTTCCACGTTATCAACACCTCTCCTAAAGGGTGTGATGAAAATAGCTTTCATTCAATGTAAATTTCCAGCAGCGCATGGCGTTAATATTGTTGTAAGTTCTACTTCATTACACGCGAAACAGCATTGTTACAAGCAGCCGAACAATCTAAAACCATAAACCGTTCACAGTTTGTGTATAGATGGACTTTTTGCTCTATATAGTATTATCTAAGTCTTTTGTATGCAGATCTTTCAGTCTCTTGAGGAAAATGGTATAGTCAGGCGGGCATCGACATCGATTTAATATTGTCACGATTCCCGAGTTCAACTCACTTCAAAAACACTAATAAACCAAACTATAGCAACTCTAACTAGTAGCAACAACACTGGCAATTTGGGTTTAGATTGCTTCGCTCCTATTCTATACCAATTGAGGCAGAAGGAACTGGACCCCATGCAAACCAGTAAAAATCGGGGCAAAAATTTTTCGCCAACCAGGATTTACTCTATTCATTTAAAATTGCTAAAAGTAAACACATTATGGACTTCTAACTCAAAATATGTTAGTTCCTGCGGACATGACCCAATTTATAGCAAGTATAGGCAATTGTCGATAAGATACCGATAAGGAGATGTTTGTTCAGGACGAATCATTGAGACGATTCGTGTTTTGTGGCATTTTCATAAGTATGCGTGCGTTTGGTCCCCAGATCACCCGTTTTAGCGCAAAAAGTACGGAATGTGGCTTCGGAATTAAACGCAGAGAAAAATCCCAAAAGTTCCAACTGGTGTAGTAAAAGGTGAGTTTTACCGATATATTAACCCACTAAAGAATCCCGATTCATTGTACAGGCATTTGAAGCTGATAAGATATTATCTCTATATTTACCATAAGTCTACTACAGATATAAAATCAATAAACAGAATATTACTGCATGGAAGTATGACGAAAAAATAAAAATACTTTGCCCAATTTTTTTATTACAGACTAAAGTACCCACGTATCAATGCGATAAAACCTAAATTCATCAGATGTCTGGCTGAATGGTGGAAACTGGTTTTAGCGCTGAAATACCGAAATAATTTTACAATACTCAAATCGCTTTTAAATTTGTGTAAAGCAGAACTAACTCTGAAGCACTAAGTTTCATTTTATTCTAGCAAGACCCAGAATGGTCCAAGGGGATGGTGTTAAGAAGTAATAGCACATTTTAAAAACCTGGAATAGAATGGCAGAAGAAATTAATTCCACCGAACAAAAACCCTTTAAATATGCTGCCAGATGCACGATTGCAGAGGCCATGCTAATTTTCTCCAGCTGTCTCGTTGCAGTAAGTATTTATAAATTATAATACTTTTGCAATAACACACCTTTTCTGCAAAACACCCCGTATATCCCAGAAAATATTTAAATGTCATTGTGATTCTTTCAATAAAATCCCCACATTTAATAATGTATTCTTTGGGTACGAAGCACAAACGAACTAGAATGCGCGATTTGATTCGCAACTTTTTATTCGCGCCCTTATGTAAAAGAAAGGAGGATGCTTCTGATACTCTCAGTAACAGAAGTCATGAAATAAAGCTGAAAACATTTTCCGCGGGAGTGTTGCCGGAGCATGTCGTGCTTTATTCAAGTGGCGCAATATTTTCAGTGAGTTGGTGGCAGAATTGCTCAAAATAGTTGGCTTTTCCTTCATTTACAGTTCGTAGGAGTGAGTCTTCTTGGTCTAAGCATATGGTCGCTTGCATGGAAATTACTCGCTTACAGCTACTTCATGGACATAATAACGGATCCGACTTTTTTCAACATTCCTGCTGCTCTAATTGGGCTTCCTTCTATATTTTTGACTATAGCTATCCGACGAAATCAATTTAGCCATTTGTTAATCGTAAGTACAAACTATTTTCTATACCAACATAACAAATGCAATTTCAGCCATTAATTTTATCCATTCCACGTTGTTATTGCTTAACACTGTGAAAAACCAAACTTTGATATTTCTTCTTTTTCAGTTCCTTGTTCTGCAAATGATCGCCATTGTACTTCTCTTCACAGGATACTCTATAGGAACAAAGTACAAGCTTCTAGGTAATGATGATATCCTGCGCTTGGGGCCAACGGTGCCAACTAATTTGCTCAACAACACCCTATATGATGTTATTCAAACATATGAAGAAACCTTGGAGAATAATGTCACACTTGACGGTATTCAGTCCAAATTCGGATGCTGTGGAGTGATTAACATTTATGACTTTGGGAACTTGTCTCTTGGTATTCCAACGTCCTGCTGTCCAAATGTAAGCTAAACTTATTTTTCCGGTTCAATCAGTTCAATCCAGTCAACTTTCTTTAGAGTGATTGCAACCAAGGCATTTACCCCTGGGGCTGTCGACGAAGAATCCAAGAAAACGTTGCGTGGCACACAAACGTAACTTTATCTATAACTCAGCTACTGATTCTGATGGTTGTAAGTACCAAAATCAGCTGCATTTTATTCCACAATCCGAAAATCGTATATGTTTTAGTTCTTCAATGCTGCAATGATCGGGAGCGTATTCATATCAGATTACTACAAATGACTAGCAGCGCATAAAGCAAGACAATATACATAGATAACAAAATTGTATATATTGCGAACTTAACTAAGAACAATAACAGACGCCAAAGACTTTAGATTTACTATTACTTCACATTTTCGCATTCTGCCCAGTTTGGTAGGAAAACGGAAAGCAGAAAATGGAGATTAGCTATTAGAGATGTGAACATTTGCTAATACATACGTTAAGCAAGTAAAGCAGCAATTTCGTATATTTTTCTTAAAGGCAAGCTGTATTGAAATTTGTAGTATTTGCGAAGTAGTTGAGAGATCTACAATTTCCACAACCACAATTACAACAAAAAATGTTGCTTCCCATTTGGACAGCTAAATGCCAACCTCACACTTTCGGCGCCTTTAGTAGAAAAACTTGTAACATACAAAAGATCTTTAGCTTATAAATTTCGAGCATACAAGTGCGTTGGTCAAAATAGCTCACGTATGCAGCAACTATCTTTTACAATATTAGAAACTGTTAGCAATAGCTAATAAAATTAATTAAAAAAATTACAAGTTACACAACAAAATACACCAAATCATGTACACATGGTATTTTAAGAGGGCAGTTAAAAAACTAAAAATCAACGTTTATATCGAAATAAATGCATGTAAAAAACGACTATTTAAAAATATGTTTATTACTTGTTTTTGTTACTTTTAAACTACCATCTACATGAATGCTATAGAAGAAGTCAGGTCATTTACGTTAAAAGCACCTATAACAACTACTTCAACATTTTCCACACAGAAACCTCAACAGAAGCTCAGTTGTCTTAGTATTAACTAACAAAAAGCAATTTTTGCAAAAAGCAATATTTACAGTTCTATATCATTCAAAAATGTATCCAACAACAACTATATGGAAGGAATTATAAAAAACATCTATGGAAGGTTTATTCTACGCCTCTTAGTCCTAGCGACAATGTATCCTAAATTAATGTATCTTATCACAGATGGTTAAAACATAAATGTGTGACCAACGACGCATTGTGCTTGCAAAAACAATTTTCTGTAGATAACTGGCCAATTTCTGGCTTGATAATAATATTTTGGCACAATAGCTTTTTCGATACAATGAAAAAATTAAAAAATAGTCGTCGTTGATCTAATTAGAATTTAAATGAACACACTTTTCGGTAGCGCAGTCCAAATAAGTTTAGACAACACAATTGATTGCTTTCACCTAGTTCAAGATACTGGAGAGTCTGCTTCACCTTCCAGTCCAAAAAAATCTATAAATGCAATGACTGAAAATTAGCCGTTTATCGCTTTGTTATTTTTATCTTTATTGGGGAAATCATCTGATTTCATCGTAGTAATCAATCAAATAAATGTCCGAACTAAGATCAGCTGTGTACCTCGTCGGTATCAATTATACAAAAACCTCGACAAATAGCTTAAAATAATGAAAATATCCACATTATTCTTAATATCATGCATAGACTGCAAATTATTAATGCGTGTTAAAGTCTGATTTTTTCCCGTGTACTTCATTAAGCAGATCAGGTAATACTCGAAGACTTCAGTGAACATTGACAAAAAACACAAAGAGACCGAATAAGAACACTTTTCTTACCATATTCGACTTCTGTGCTCACGATCATCTCGTCGATCTGTGTGAAATACAACAGTGGCAAAACTGATAGAACACAAGAACAGCGTGATGAATCCCAATATAATATAGACGGAAGTGATTAACCAGAAGGCAAAACCGTACAAATTCTTGTTGCAATACTGACTCGATGTTGGGTCATAATTTGGTTCATATTCTTTGTACACCCAAACTGAGCCAATAATGAACCAGCCCAACATGAAACAGTTCAACAGGTTTTGCGTAGGTGACTGCCTCAAGTTTTCTTCTTGTCGTGCTTCTTCAGTTTGTCTTACCCTGGCTGATAGATGAAGCAGCTGCTTTAGAATACCAAATATTCCTGCAAAAAAGCATTAATTAGAAGGCTTTGAAACTAGTTACGTTTCAATCAGATTCTTAATGTAACTTAAATAACAAAAAAAAATTAGATAAGTTCTATATTGTTGAGGCGGATTCATTTTCTTACAAACTTCTTGTTGGGTATTTTGCCTCAAAAATTTTTGTCTTTAAAAAAGACATTTCCTCACGTCTTTTATTAAAGACGTGAGAAAAGTAAAAAAAAACTTTGTATTGCATAATTACCTCCAACAAGTAAATATACTGGAATGTATTCTCCTTGAGGACACTCGTGCAAGTAAATTGAGCCCATGACTATCATGCATATTGGAATGACTATGGTTACTCCTAATATAATAGAACAGCCCACTATATACAAAAAAAAAGAAATTACAATGAGTCAGTGGAGATCGAATAAATTTATTATAGAAAACATGTTCTTTACAAATAAAACATTTTTATAATTAATAGAAATAAAAATCTTTGCAAAATTCTTGTTTCTTAAATGCAATGTTTCTGAAACTAAATTTAAAATAAATGGAATCCCTTACGTTATAGAATAAATATCAATGAAACTTCCAAATGTTCCGGGTTTTGAAAAAAAGCTTGCTGCTTCTTTCGGAATTTTATAACCTTCATAGTGAATTATTTTTTATTCAAAATTTCATAAAAGCTCAAAAGTTCGCACACCAAAAAAGAATAAGCAGTTTAAATTGGTTAAGCGCTCACTGGCATAATGTAAACTCAATGGGGACCTTTATGTACTGTCTTCTCTGCTTCTTGCTGCTGATTAATCGCTCTTGCTAAAATAACGTGATTTTGTACTTAATTTATATTTAGGTACTTTTTTGATTATTTTCTTAATATGTAGTTACTTCATTCATCCAACAATTTATCACCGTTAAATTGTATCAAAAAGTGATATCAACGAAAACATTTCATTCGACCTATGCGAACCTTTTGTTTTTTAAACAAATTAAACAATTTGATGATAAGTCTCGATGGAACCTAACAATATGCACGTACGCAATGGCTTAAAAATGAATCCATTAATATGAATTAGTGGTCAATTCTTTTGGAATTTTTCGCAAATCGTTATTCTTCATACACAGCAACAAAGCAAAGTGGATTACATATTAACTGATACGAAAAAATTCATCAAAAAAACCAGTAAAAAATTAAAACAGTCAAAAAGTGTGTGCCAAACAAAACTAATTCATTTAGACTCGATTAATTTATAATATTTCCGAAATATGACTAGACATATTACATGAATAATCATGGCTTATCATTACTTTAAATACCCAATTACATCATCATCTTCTTTGTGTTGAAAAGATTTCCAATAAAAATAACTCTAGTTTCTAAATACCTAATTAGGTCAAGATTTGCTGATATGAGCAACAACACTTCAAAAGAATCCCGCCCTTGATACGGCGGATTTAGCACTTTTAGTGATTTTATACAACATAAAAAATGCAATTTTATATCAATAATTGGCAATAATAATTTTATTATTAGCTTTGGTATCATCAAATTGGGTGATAAATGATGTTGATTTCTGCTAAATACTCACAAGTGCCTAGGACTATAACGATAACATTCTTAAGAAAATCCACCACCCCTTTGCTGGTCTTTTGGGCTTCCCTCACCCTTCCGAAAAGGGAATCATATGATGGAGGTGGCGCTGAAACAATCAGCTTATTACCTATCTACTATTTAGAATCAATTACTTTGTCGTCTGGTAATTAATTATTCGCATTTCAAGTAAGTGCAACATGTTAATGATATGTTAAGTTAAATTAATTCATCATTGCAAATAGCTGTAGAGGTTACTGAAAGTGCAAACATGTACCTTTCTAAATTCCTAAGATGATTTTTTAACCATGTACAATTTGCATCAATAAAATGGTATTTTTACACAATTTTGCAAGAGTCCTGCACATTTTTTACTAAAAGAAATTGCGGTTGCTATTACCCTTTTGGTATTCACTGGGTTCAGTGGCTACTAATGAGATCAGCAAATGATTTGTGCTTACCGTTAGGGTTAATTGCATCTTCATAAGAAGGGGGTGCAGCAGCCTCCGCCAGAACACAATTAATTGGGGCCCCCCCTTGGACATTGAATAGGGGAGCAGGCGGATGATTAAACTGAACGCTGGCACCAGTCATAGGACAAATTTTCCGTTCCCGAAATCACTACCTCTACATAATAACGGTTCAAACTAAATGTAAATCATTGTGCACCTATTTTTATCAGACTTTAAGCCCAATTTTATGAAAAAGTGTGACAGTTTGTTGAATTTTTATGAAAATTGACAATGAATTGAAAACAAACCTTGGGTGGTGCCTGGAGTGTGTTCAATGTTCGTGGTTTTAAGCGTTATCTTCCGGGCAATGCCACACCTTTTTATGTAAATAATTTTATTTATTGAACGTTAAGTTATTTTTTATAAATTTTGATACCGGCGCACTCAATTAAATTTACGACAACAGATTTGCGGTGTATTTCTTGTTAATTTTCAGGTTTTTTCCATTTCTAAAATACCCGAAGGCCAGACACTATACAGCGACCATTTAACCTCTTCTACGGCAAACCGTATAGTATGTAGTCTGTGCGGCAAACTTAACCTACAAATGTTTTGAAAACTTTGTGAAAATGTCGCATGTGAGAAAGACAATAATATCTAACGCAGAAAAGCTATTTCTGGTTAAAAATTTAACAGAATGGAAGGTGATAGTTTAAAGCTTCTGAGAGAAGCCCCATTTTGGAAATGTCTTTAATTTTTCAGAGACTAGATGGAAGGGCTTTTGATGAGTTTCGGGACCTAGAAATCCAATTTGGCAAAGATTGGGGCTCTTGCTTCGTCAGTTTGGGAAAAACAAAGTAAGCAGTATAGACGATTAGCTACTTTTATACATAATAACATTTTTGGAAATCTTATGACAAGTTAAAGTCAAATCTCATTAGAACGGCAATAAAAATCCGGTTAAACCATATTTTCAAATAATGGCGCTTTGCTAAAGATCTCATTCAATCAACAGTCTGAATCAAATGTTTTGCTACTTAACTTAACACATTTTAGAGTATTAGCACAAGTATCTTGTGAGCTTCAACTGCCCAAAGCCTCCAGGCCTAGTGAAGGCATCCTGAGTATCAATCTTGAATTAAATACCATGGGGGACCCGAATTTTCAAGTCGGAAGACAATCTGAATTGAACTCCCAACTAAATAGATTATTAGAGAAATGCATCTACGATTCGAAGGCAGTTGATTTGGAGAGTTTGTGCGTGAAAATGAACGAAAGGGTGAGTGAAAAGCTATCAAGCATCGCATACTAACACTGGACAGACTTCCATCCAATTATACCTACCTTAATTGATTAGGTGTGGTCAATCAGAGTAGATGTAAATCTTCTCAACCATGAAGGAAACATTCTAGATTGCGCTTCGATAGCAGCATTAGCGGCTTTGGCGCATTTCAGAAGACCTGACGTGTCATGTGATGGAATGGAGTTTAAAATTCACAGCATTAAAGAAAGAGATCCAATACCAACTGTAATACATCACTATCCAGTGTGTATATCATATGCCATATTTTCTGGAGGGTAATAACTTTTATATGAAACTACTCATTAGCTAGTGCTTACAGTCGATTTTTTCAACTTTAGAAAATTCATTGTGGCTGATCCCACTTTATTAGAGGAGAGAGTAGCTGAAGCATTTTTGAGTGTTGGACTCAATGCCTATAAAGAACTATGCGGGCTTCATTTAGGTGGAAAAGCTGAGCTATCCACCGACATAATCTTGGAGACCACAAATAAGGCGTCGAAAAGAGCTGGATGTGTAGTCGAAATAATTAAAGCAGCTGTAGAAAAAGACACGAACGACAAGTGGGTTTCTACAGATTATTTCAACAGGTTTATTTTTAATTGAAAGACCATCTATTGTAGATTAGCAATGAAAGACACCGGATTCCATGTACTTGAATCAAAAGAGCTAAAAGAAGAACCACTTGCAGCTTTGAGTGTGTGTTTAGATCATTGGAAGACTGCAAAACTCAAAAAGAAGAAACAAAAAAAAGTGAAAGAGGAAAATGTTGACTGTAAGATTCATTTTTTTATTTCATGAATTTTCTATAAGTGATAATGAGAGAATGTAAAAGTAAAAATATGTTTTCTTTTGCTAGCTATTGAGATGGAAACCGATGAAAAGGGGTCAATAAAAAATCCTGACGTTATAATGAAAATAGACGGCGGAACTGCCGAGTTAATACCAAATAACGATGCATCTAATTGGATTGTGGTTGAAAGCGATGAAGATCAACCTCCAAATGATGATGTTCACATCGCTACACAAAAAGGTTTGATATTAATTCAATCGATTTAATATTCTTGGGTTGAATTCTTACTTATCTTGAATTATCTTCTTATCTCTGGCATTTCTGCTGTACTATTATTAATACTTTGGTGCCTTCATGTGATTTAAAAAGTTGAGTTTTGGCCAAATTCTGGCTAATTTTGATATTCGGAGCGTAAACTATAAAAGGTTATATCTTCCGAAAGTTTATCGTGTTTCTATAATTAGACAGTCCAATAATGTCGTTTGTAGTTGCAACCGTGAACCTGGAAAATTCAGACAGCGAAGACGAAGAAAAGCTAGAAGTGCTCTTCCCTGAGCAGCAGAAGAAGTCAACAAAACGATTATCAAAGAAAATAAAAGGTTCAACGTGACACTGATTTTATTTAGTTGCAAAACCACATTTTTATTACTAATTCTATAAATTATAAAAATAATTTTATTTGAATTGCATCCATTTATAGTTCTTAAATTAAAGCTACGACATTACAATAATTAGATTCTAGACTGTTTTATTTTAGCATTTTGATGCATCATGTTTTGCATAAGAAAATCATATCAGAGTGTAAAATAGAAGATAATATTTTCTAAAAATGTACCACAAAAACATTTTCTACAACTTCAAAAAAATTTCTGTCATGAACAATAGGTGCTCGTACAATTTGCACTTTCAAGAAAAAAAGCTTTATTCTAAAACTTATTACAAACATTAAATATCCATCTCTAGGTTGTGTCGCTATTGTTTAAACCATTCTTCTGATCCAGCTTATTGCCGTTTGTTTTGACCGTGTAGATAAAGAAGGTGACCACATCGGTTTCCTTGACCGGTATGGTTTTAAAGTGTTTCATAAGATTCTATTGGAAAAAATTGTTTCGGTATAGCTTAACTTAATCAAAATTGAAATATCTATTTGCATTGTGATTTTTCTTTTATGATTGTATTGTTAAATAAAACCCAAATAGATAAAAAGTTTCAATCAAATAAAAAATAGATTTATTAGATATTGTAAAAAACGAATTAATAAATGGTTATTTACTTACATCGGCAAGCTGCGCCTTATTCAGACCAGGCCTAGTAGGTACCTTATAATGTCTTTTGTACCTCCTTAAGGTATTCACCTGCAGATGGTAAAGATCCACCTCAGGGATATCCGTGTCAGTTTCATTGCTGTCCTCTTCAGACTCTTTCCTTCGGCGTTTCGTCCTCGCACACTGAATGATCATCTTGTGAAAATCACAAATATAAATATGTCTTGCCTACGAAGAAAAAAAATATGTATATGTAACATAATTCTCGTATATTTTAGGCATTCATTTACGGATTTGATGCAATATCTGGAAAAAGTTTACTTAATTATCTCAAAATGTTCTGATTTTTCTGTCACTACATTAATTTCGTAAACAGTTCTGTTAGGGTTTAAGTGTTAGTCTACTCCGCTCTTCCAGCAAACAATGACAATAATTAACAAAATTCGACTTAACTACTGACACTAGGTTAATTTAAATTGTCTTAAATTGCGAAAGCATTTGATCCCAAACTGTATGAAACTGCAGATTAAATAGGACAGTAGAAATGAAGATGATCATACTGCACTACGTAAAATCGAAAGAAATTATAGAAATCGTTAGGTAACTAATTAATGACAAAGAATTCGAATAATGTTTGTTTAAAACAAAATGTATTCGCAACTTGAATGAGAAAATAGAAAATCAACATCTGACAAAATCGTGTTAATCAACAGTGTGGAATGGAAGTAATTAATAGTACTCTTTTGAGCTGAAGACACTTTGTCTGTTCTGTATAATTTCTGCTACTTTTGGAGTATACTCCCAGGATTTGGCGGCATTTTCTTTTGAATTACACCACAGCAAAGGAAAAAAAGCACGCATTGATACCAAAATGCAGCAGAACTGGCTAAAACAACTGGAAATTTTCGGCAACTGTAGTAAATTATGCAACTAGCCGATACCTCATGATTTCTGACATGTTAATAGTAGCAGTTTAACTAATGACTCAAACCTGCCTCCTTGCGTAACAAGTGCTTGGAAAATTGGAGGATATAAAGCATGCCTTTTACTCACGTGGTATTCTACAAATGTGCCGGCATTCTAACTGGAAAGATTGCTGTAGTTATGAAGGCAAAATGCATAAACCGAAGTGAACATGAAACAGTAGTTGAAAGGAGGCCTACTTACAGCGTTATCCAACAACAGATTGAGTTTCCTCTGGGTCACGGTCTTCTGTATTCTTTTACTATAAGAAGCGTTGCCGGCAGATTTAACGCACCTCTCCCCTGCATCAATAAGACAGCAAATCTGGTCCGTGGGACCTCGTGAATCTTCCTCTCCAGTACTAAAACCGTTCATTATCTAAAACCTGTGTTCCACCTTAGGTAGCTGCCATCATTTTGGGTCACTCTTGATTAAACGGCCATAACAGATGTTTTGCGGATAACTTTTCTATTCAATTCATTCAGAAATTTCACATCTAATGCACTGCGGCTTTTGCGAGTATTTATTTTGTTGTTTCTCTTTTTTCCTCACTGATAAGCGCACCTACATGACTTTTACAGGCCAGGCGAACGTCAACAAGCAATCAATATGGGGACGTCACTAGCAATGTCACGTGGTACGACGTGTCGCGCTCGTTAAAATTAGATTGATTTCAAAAATATAATTCCAGTTTTACGCAAAATTAGGAAATTGTTCTAAGGAATATATGAAAAACTTACGGAAACCTCCTATATTTAGTGCTTTGCACACAAGCCTGAATTACCAAAGTGGAATTGCTCCCTTTTCAGACTTTCTATTTGCATCAATAAATCAATCATTAGTAAGAAAATTGCTGGAATAGGGCAAATAAACTTAAATAATACAATAAATCAAACATTTCAATGTTTATGTTGATGTAAAATTCAAATTAAGACTGTCAGATCAGGAATTGATGGAGAAGAAATGAAAATATCCCTAAATTTGTGGGTCAGGGTTGCCACTCTACCTGAGTGAAATGACAATTTAGCTCATAGTGTTTCATCAATCAAGAAAATTATTTTTTCCGCGATTTTTTTAAATATGTTTACCCGGATTTTTATATAAAGTGGTCAAAACACTAATTTTAAAACACGGATGTGAGTGAAACTACAGCTTATATATTGATATGATATTTAAGCTGTGGTAAAACGTTCAGTAAACCAAAGTGCAATTTAATCATAAAAATTTTTAATATTTCACGCCTAGTTGTTGATATTCAAGTATAGTCTGTCCTTGTTTCTAGGGACAAATAGAATTTACTACTTTTGGTCTATTGGCAGCAGTGTCTGGAAGGTTACCCTCACAGACTGTGGCTGTAGAAGCAAGTCAATCATTTTGGCAAAATAGTCAGCTTTCTATAAACTCAAAAACCCTTTTTTACTTATGATAGTATTTACAAATAAGGTATCCAGTCTTCAATTGAATTCTTTTCCGAAATGGGTAAGGCGAAAAAACAACGTAAAGGAGCGAAGGACGACGAAAGGTGAGGTTTTTTTGTTTAAATATGCTGGCCTTTTTTGCCAGGTTACAGCCAATATTGAACTTTTAGCGATTCTGAAGTGGAAGTAGAAACTCAAGAACTGATCGTGCAAGCCAGTACAAAAAAGTCCAAGCTTCAAAAGTGAGTTTTTTAGCATTTTGTACATAATGTGAGGTTATGGCTCTAAAACAAATGTGCTGAAGTAGAGGCAATAGATGCTCCTCAAAACGAGTTTTCACAAATATTGAATAGGCCCTTTAGTTGTCGCTGTCTCAACGTGATTTTATTGCATAAATACTTAACTTTTGGTCGTTTCAGGGTGAAAAGTGGATCTGAAAATGAACAGAACCAGAAGTCGAAAACGACCAAGAACAAGAAAGTACTTGATTCTGAAGATGATGAAGACGATGTACCAGTAACGAAAGTACAAAGTGCTTTTGCTCTGCTTCAAATGGATGATAGTGAAGATGAAGTTCCTGTAGGTTTTTACACTGTGAAATTAGATAATGTATAATTATATTTTCAAACACTTCTAGGCTGCTAACGATGAAAGCGAGGAGGAAGAGCAGAAACCAGTAGCAAAAAATAAAAAGAATGGCAATGCCAAACCTGAGCCACAGCAAGGAGGGAAGAAGGGTAAGAAAAACAGACGAAGAAAGGATGAAGATGATGATGAATTGGAAAGAGCCCTTGCAGAATTGGGAATGGAATATGCAGGTAAATATATAAATAAAACGTTTGAAAATCCTTGTCGGGCTGGTCAGCCACAAGAAACTGTGACTTTAAAGATGTTTTTAAAATCATGTGCATATTTTCAATGTTTTTTGGACTATGCTTTGTCCGATTTTATAGCAGTCTACAAGAAATATCTTGTTTCTTTAGCACATCATAAAACAACATTTTGGGTGCTCCAAGGTGGGGCCTGTACATTTACATGTATTAAGACGCTAAATTTAACACGTATATTTAGGTGTGAAGAAAGAGGAACCTGTCGCTCAGGTAGAAAAAGAATCAGAACCCGTAGGTAAGAAGGGCAAAAAGAAGACAAAAAGTGAGAGCCCAGACGAGAATGGAGAAGATCAAGCTGAGGAGGAACCTGCCGAAGGTGGAACTGTGAAAACAGCAGCCCAAAAGAAAAAGGAAAAGAAGGAGAGAGAAAAGCAGAAAAAAATGGCAGCTAAAACGAAGAAAGAAGGCTCAGTTGAAGATTTAAAACCGGAAGGCCAAGTAGCAGAAGTATCAGAGCCAAAACCGGTTAGTTTTATCATATATTCTAATTTTGTTGTGTTCAAATGTTCAATTTATTTTCGTTGCATCAAAACACGCAGTACTGGGGTGGCTAATGGTTGTTCTTTTTAAAACTCAAACTAAAAAAATTCACGATTTAAAAATCATGATAATTATTTTTAAAATAAAATTTATCGGTTGATTGGTTTGAATTCAAGTCAGAAGAAAAATGTGCTGAAACTCGAATTGCTCTTCTAAGATCAATTTAAATTGTAATTAGTCACAACTATCAAACTCTGTCGTTTATCGGTTAATTTTTTTGTTAGGTTGAGGCAACAGCCGTGCCCGCTAACGACGAATCTGCGGAAAAGGATGTTAACAAAAAAAAGAAAAAGAAGGGCAAAGACAAGCCTGTTGAAGATAATGTTACCGAAGAAGGACAAGGGAATGAGGGAGAGGAAGTTGTCGAGCCTACTGCTGAAAAAGCGGGTAAAAAGAAGAAAGGAGCTAAGGATGAAAAAGATGCCAAAACAAAAAAAGGTACTGATCTTGCGAATGGAAAAGTTTCATAGCTCGCAAAAGCTCGTGAAGGATCTTAGTTTAACCATTTGATTTAACAATAGGCCCTCCAAAGAAAACTTTGGTAGCCATGCAAGAAGCCCTTAAGAAACTGAAAGAAGATCAGGAGAGACAAAGACAGGAGGAAGAAGAAAGGATAAAGCGGGAAGAAGAAGCTGAAAATGCTAGGCTCGAAATGCTAAGGTATTTCTCATGATCCTGAAAATTATTTCATTTAACTTTATTATGGTCCTAGGTTGGAACAAGAGAGAAAAGAAAGGAAGAAGCAAAAAGAAAAAGAGAAAAAGGAAAGGCTGAAAGCAGAAGGAAAGCTTCTCACTGCAAAACAAAAGGCTGATCGCGCTAGGGCTCAAGCTCTAATTGATTCTTTAAAGGTAGGACCAGTACTGATTTTCATTGCAATAACTGAGATGAATCGTACTATTGATTTTAGGCACAAGGTGTTGCTTTGCCCGATGTTGGGGAAAAGAAGCCAGTCAGACTTGGAACTCGAATTAAACCGAACAAGCAAAAGAAGGATCCAGCCGCTCAAGAGATTAAGACAGAAGAAAAGCCCGCTGAAGAAAAAGGCGAACTGCAACCGCAGATACCAGTTGAATCAGCTCCAATTGTTACTGAAGGTAAACCTACATTAATTTGTTTATTGTTTGTAATTTCTAATTTTGTTTACAAATTTATAGTTGTGGATCCGAAAGTGGATGATGACGTTAAGGATGCGTGGGATGCATCTTCTGATGAAGAATCGGAAGACATATCTGACAGTGTGAAAAAAGACTCTAGTGAAGAACCGAAAGTTGAAGTTAAGAAAACGGCGGTAATTAAGAGATAGTCAAAATTATGTGGGTTAATGCTAAATTTGCAATTGCTTTCCAGCCGGCTAAAGACGAAGGTGGATCTGAAGAAACTAGTTCAGAGGAAGACTCAGATTCTGAAGATGGCAGTGATTCAGAAGAGCAAGATGACAAAACAGCGGCTGAGCGGACACGTGAGAAAGCTGAAGAAAGAATTAGGGTACGATTTGGTGACTTTGCTGATTGAAAATAAATGTATAATTATTTTCGGTACTTTACAGAAACGAAAGGAAAACGCTACCAAGAACCAGACAGTGGAAAATCTTCGCGCTGCTATTGTTTGCGTGCTGGGTCACGTCGATACTGGCAAAACGAAGATTTTAGATAAACTGAGAAGAACAAACGTACAGGACGGTGAAGCGGGTGGAATTACTCAGCAAATCGGGGCCACAAACGTTCCTATTGATGCAATTAAGGATCAAATTAAAATTGTAAAGGGGGTACGGATTTGATAATTTATGTCTTTTAGCAGTTTATCTAATTACGCATTTCTTTTTCAGGCGGCAGATATGGACTTGAAAATCCCAGGTCTCCTTATTATAGACACGCCCGGGCACGAGTCCTTTTCCAACCTGAGAAACCGAGGATCTTCACTTTGTGATATTGCCATTTTGGTTGTGGACATTATGCACGGATTGGAGCCACAAACCATTGAGTCCATTAATTTATTGAAGCAGAAAAAATGTCCGTTTATTGTGGCTCTTAATAAAATTGATAGGTGAGTACCCAGATTAAATGTTGTGGATACTAAATAAATTTGTTGGATATTGGGATGCTGATGTGTAAATGTTATTTTAGATTGTATGACTGGCAGACCATGAACAGAAAGGACATCCGTGATGTTCTCAAATCGCAAGCTTCAAATACTCAAATGGAATTTGATCAGAGAAGCAAGGCTGTGATAGTTGAATTTGCCGAACAAGGTAAAGTGTACAATATTTTGATTTCATACATTTAGGAAATATTTATTGCAAATATGTACTGAATTGTCTGATTGTTACGTTCCCATTTTTAACTTGTTGTATTGTGTTTTAGGGCTAAATGCAGCATTATTCTACGAAAATCCGGACCCTCGTAGCTACTTTTCTCTTGTGCCAACTAGTGCCATAACAGGTGAAGGTATGGGAAACCTTCTAGCATTGATTGTAGAGTACTGCCAAGTGAAATTACCCAAACGCCTGATGTACTCGGATGAATTGCAAGCTACTGTTCTTGAGGTAGAGTTCATGTTTTCCAAATGTAATTAAGATTGATTGTAACTTCGTTTAAAAACAGGTTAAAGCTATTCCTGGTCTGGGTACTACAATCGATGTGATTCTAGTCAACGGTACTCTCAAGGAAGGAGATACTATGCTAGTAGCTGGAACTGACGGTCCAATAGTTACTCAAATAAGGTCGCTTCTCATGCCACAGCCTATGAGGGAGCTAAGAGTCAAGGTAATAATTTTGTCTCGAGTACAGACTAATGTGGACTGTTAATTTCTCTCCTATTTGCCATATACTAAGTTCTATCTGGTTTTTAGAATGCCTATGTGGAATATAAAGAAGTGAAGGCCGCACAAGGAGTCAAAATTGCTGCAAAAGAACTGGAAAAGGCCATTGCCGGTCTTAATTTGTACGTTGCAGTGAAACCTGATGAAGTCGAAGTAAGAAGTTGAATTCCAATCCGAAACAGTTCTAAATTTGTGTGATTTTTAAGGTGATGAGAGATGAAGTTGCCCGTGAACTTAGAAGTGCTCTTTCCAGTATTAAGCTGCAGGAAAGGGGAGTTTATGTCCAGGCTTCCACTCTGGGTTCCTTAGAAGCTCTACTTGAGTTTTTGAAAGTTAGCAAAATTCCGGTAAGCAATAATTACAAGTGATATTTGGGTGTAATATACAGAAATGCTTTTTTTAGTATTCTGGAATTAGGATTGGGCCCGTTGTCAAAAAAGACGTAATGAAAGCATCAATAATGTTGGAGCACGAACCTCAGTAAGTAAACGTTTTTTTCTGAGTTAACACTTTTCCATAATGTTTAATAGACTGTTAGGCATATGTAAATATGATTGTTTCCAAGTTAAAGTCCGGAAAATTTTAAAATTCCTCACCAATCACTCTTTCACGTGTTCTTTGTGGAATATTTATTTGTACAGTACATTCTGATACATGGCAGAGTTGACCAGTAAAACAGCATCTGTATGAACCCATCCCTAATCACTTATCCACCTTTGAAAATCAATACTTGTATCATACGACGTTGTTGACCAAGTGTCCTAAACAAATATGATTTGTTTTTCAAAAAGTCAGATGAAAAGATGTTTTTCTTATCTTTTTGGTTGTCAGACAGATGCTGCTTGTTTGCCAATGCTACTGTGTCGAATGTTATGTACTTTGTTTTGGTTATTTATTTAGGTAAGGATTTTTCGAGTTCAAGTTATAAGAAATAAGGTCGTTCACCACCAAATAGTTAGCAGAGCAATTCGGATACAGCTGCTAATTACCGTCTTTTATGAATAATTTTTAAAGAAGCTGTTTAATGTGGCAATTAATTGAATATTTTTTTGTTTCAGGTATGCAACAATTTTGGCCTTTGATGTCAAAGTGGAGAAAGACGCTCAAGAGTTGGCTGATAGTATGAACGTGGAAATTTTCCAAGCGGACATCATTTATCATCTTTTCGACAAATTCATGGCATACCGTGAGCAGTTGAAACAAAAAAAACGGGAGGAATTTAAGAATATTGCAGTGTTCCCGTGTCGTTTGCGGGTTTTGCCCCAATTTGTGTTCAACTCCAGAGATCCGATCGTTTGCGGCGTTATGGTAGAAGCTGGCATTCTGAGAGAAGGAACTCCGATTTGCGTCCCTAGTAAAGAGGTGTGTTTTTTGTAGTTTTAGGTTTTTTGAAGGAAACAGTAAACTTAACTAATTTAGTTGAAGCTTTAGACGACCGTTTTCAATTAGAGTGTTTACTTTTCAGTTTGTCGACATTGGTATTGTTACAAGTATAGAAAACAATCACAAAGCGGTGGAAACTGCAAGGAAAGGCATGGAAGTCTGCATTAAAATAGACCCAATCCCAGGCCAATCGCCAAAAATGTTTGGCCGTCATTTTGATGAAACCGACTTTTTAGTTAGCAAGGTAAGTCTTGTACATTTTTGCCAATTGGTTGATATTATATTAGTAGATTATACATTATTAAACGTATGCCTTTCATTGCGTAATTGTGTTTTGAAAGTTAACATAATAATTTAATGAAAATCACATCGACTATCCGTTTTATTTACATTGTTTTGGCTCTCCCAGTACAACCTAGACACGACTACGTTACGAATGGTTTCTCGCCAACTCAATGTAACGAGTTTTATTATAAGTAAGCACGCATATTTCATTCATCGACTAAAACCGCGTTCTGCCAGTTACTCAATGTGCTGCCGCGTCTGCAAAGTTTCATTTCATTCAGTAATTTGTTATTTATAATGGATTGGCCGACTTAATTCACCATCACGTTTAAATAAATGCGAATTGTAACTTTTATTTCGTGCTCGCTTGCACGATCAATGGCATTTGCAGGTGTGGGCTTACAGATCTAAAATAATTATTTTTATATTAAACTGTTTATGATGCACTAACAAAAAGGTTTATTATTTGAAATTGTACCGGATGTTACTTTTTGCGGGGGATTTTAGTAGTTTCTCTGTATTGGCGAATATTAGCCTTAGAATATCTAGTCATGATTTGGACTCAATAATTTAATTGACAAGAAAACCATTTTTTCTGCTTTTAACTGTTTATTTTTCTCCGGATTCTATGAAGAGTGGGAAGTCTTTCGTAGTTAGTTAAATAATTATTCAGTACGACGCCACTGCTGCCCTACGTTATGTGGTAAACGAGATTTTTATGATTGGATTGAAAAATGTTTAATCAAAACCGAAGTTATACATTTGAAAATCGCATAAGTTGGCAATAATTTCGTTTTATTTGGCCGCCTTCTAAGCAACATAAATAAATTTGTTTTTACATTTTTATGTGCCGTAATATAGACAGCCTTTACATGAATGTTATCCAAATTACAGCATAACAGACACGGGCACCGGATGTTTAGAAACAGTAGTCGATGTTTGGACGATTCAAGGTTTTCTCGGGATTTTTCCAAGTAACGAAAAAAATGTGTTAATTTTTTTTGCGATTCTCGTTTCCCAGTAACGTTTAATTGCTGTCAAGAGTCTGTAATTGAACAAATGTGCCCGGCTGATAGGCAGCATGTGATTTAAATGCTTCGAACAGACACATTTGGTTTTTTTCTGGTGTAACGTTGCGTCGTTCTATGAAATGCGGATTTTGTCAGACTATTAGACGCAAAAACAATGTAAACGATGACTTCATGATTTTGCTAATTTTATTGTTAACATTTTTTTTCATGGAAATTTGATTGTTTTGGAATTTTTGTCCATCCGTGATTGGAGATTCTTTAAGTTTTCGAATTCCTGGTATCTTAATCCATCATATTATTCCACCGATAGTCAGTTTTTTACCTTGCTAGTAAAAGCGAGATTGAATTTGGTCAAATTCTTGTGGGCGTATACAATTAAATGTTTTTTTTTTTAATTAAATATCAATCTTTGTTTCAGATATCGCGTCAATCCATCGACGCATGCAAGGATTACTTTAGAGATGATCTTGTGAAGACCGATTGGCAACTCATGGTGGAACTGAAAAAAATCTTCCAGATTCTGTAGAAAATCTTAGTTTTGAGCAGGTCAATGCAATAAAGGACCTTTTTTATGATATATTTCGTCCTCGTTTATTAGCAAGCAGTAAAGTGAGTTGAGAATCTGAGTGTTCAACTTTATCAACCGTTTTATTTGGATAGTGGATGGTAGAACATTTGTTGTTTTACTTCAATACAAAGTAGTGTTTCGATTTTTCTTTCGAACAATTTCGCAGCAATTAATGAAATTATGGCTAGCTATATAAGGTGATAAAAAGGGCGTTATTTCCATAGAATTGTTTAAAGGGTATTGATTAAAGCCTGCAGATTTTTCAATCAAATGTGGCAAAGACCGGTTTTGAGGCGCTCTTTTAAAAACGATCCAAAGATTGTTCACAAAGGTCAGAGATATGAATGAAAATGGTCAGACCATTTTGTTATTTTGTGCTTATCACTTGAAAGGTTTGGAATTTCGGATAAACCCGAATTAGGAAAAAATGTTTTTCGTGACAGTCATTCGGAAGGGTTTTAACGACTGTCTAGGTATTTCAACGATAAGTGTCTCGAATTCCTGATAAAACATCGTTTCAAAGTTTTGCTGATGTTTATTCATAATTGACCGCAGAACTGAAGCGTTTTTTTATGTAAAATTTTACATTGGTGTACATTATTTGTATCTTTAAATCACATTTCGTTTTTTAAAGCTGCAGTTCACGCTTTTTATGACTAAATGAGAATAATAATTTCTTTTATTTTTAATGGCTAAATAGAATACCTACCTATGCAAAAGCATTAAGATTTTTCTTAAATTATCCGGTTGATGTTGGAAATATCAAACAAGCAATATTTAACTGTACTCTTCCAATTGATTTGGAAATGTCCTGCCAATGTAAATCGCCCTGTATAATTGCATTAAATAATGTTGCAGTTATTAAGACTATTATCTAATTGAGGATCGTATGTTGAGTGTAAACATTTTAATAGAATGCGCAATATTCATATGATATAATGGCAAAGTACTTAAAAATAGTTCAAGATGAAAGTTGCACACTCAAAAAATTAGTCTCTCCCTGAAAGCAATTGCCTAAATAGTAAATAATTAATTGTCTACTCCCTTTGCACTGAGCTGCGGATGATTTTTGTTTCATTGAAAGTATATTTTTTATATGACTTTCATACCCCCTTATGAGTTGATTTTGATACACTTTTGCAGCGCATGGCTTCCATTCAGCCAAGACGCTGCAAAATATATTTTTGTTTAAAAAATATTTGCTTGTATTGATACGATGTATATTATTATCATTATTATATTTTAAACGGCTATTAAATTTTGTGTAAATTACATGGGTGTTTCTCATTTTCTATCCTTTAGTTTTGGAACAGATTTGATAACTTTTCAGGGCGCTACTGATCCTAAAGAGAAAACAACCCCCCAAAGTCAGTTACGTAGCAGTGACCGTGAAATTGGCGTAGGTGGAGAACAGCCCCGAATTAAACAAGGGGTTGAAACCGCCCCTGACGTAGTTTCCTCGGTTTTAGTGACGTAGGAGAATTGATAATCTGCGTGCTGAGATTAATCATTCAAAAGCCAATAGAAGACTCTTAAGATGTTAAGTAACTATGTATACGTTTAGTTTCAATACGAGTGTTACGCCAATGGTGACTGCCGTCCACCCAAACGAGACCCAGGCAGTAGTACTGGTTGTTTCAACAGATACCAAGAAATCGGGAAATAATTTTGGTATGTGGGTTCAAGTATCTGCCCACCAGAATTGCCCGACACCCATTGCAATGGTTTATTTATTTTCTTATGGTCGTGGACAGGAAAAGAATAATTAACTTTTTTCTATGCTGGGAGAGAGTAGGTATCGCCGATTACTTCATTCGGTAGGTAGATGGAAGGAAGCATTTTCGTGCTCTTTTAAACAGCCATACCATAATTAGAAATAAGTTTTCCCATTTGGAAAGTGCCCGCACACATTTTTATACATACAATTTTGGTGTTACTTTACAGTTGATTATACATTGACGCGACCCTAATCCGTATCGCACTTTGCTGCTTCCGGTACTGACATGCAACGGAAACGCATGAGTAACCCTCCTTTCATACTTCCTTGTGAATGGACTTTCTCAATGAACGATTATTATTTTAATTTAATTCGCTGCTTTTTCCTTCTTGAGAATGGAACGGATACAGGGGGAGATTGAAATCAACTTTCGTAATATTACACTACTGGTTCTGGGGTTTTGCTACATTAAGGGGATTTTACTGTAAAAATCAAGGTTGCTTTAGAAAAAAGCCCCTGGGAAATGTGAGCTAAAATGATGCCTATTAAAAAAAATTGATAAAGTTGAAGTCAGAGGCGCAAAACGCAAACGTCGTGATTGAAAAAGTTGCACCAACAATTTATTACCGGAGGAAACAATAAAATTTTTAGATTTCCTGTTTATGAACACCCTGTATAATGTGAACATTATGAACACATTTTTCTCTTAGACGAAAGTTAACGAATTTAAGCGTTTTTTGTTTGAAAGTCCAGCAGAAGAGAAAAGAGCCACAATTTGTGGAGGCAACTTCTTCGTATCCCACCCTATACCGAGTGATTTAATTTTCAACTGAGAAAGTGGTGATAAGAAATAAAGAAATTAATAAATAGGAAAATGTATGCAAACGCTTCGTTATCCGAATACAGGGTGTTGAACTAGAAAATTGATTAGGATTTTTCGTTCTAATTCGTGATATTCTCCACAAATTTAAAGCGTAGAATTTCTACTTTGAAAAATACCAAAATATTAATTTCTGTGGAACGGCTTGATAAATTTTGTTGAAGCTTTGTGGGTAGTAAAGGCTGTAAGAGGTGCTTATTTAAAATAATATATTTTTTTAAGTTTTTGCCAATGGCGCGCATACCGCTTTGTTATTAGATAGTTTTGAGGAAAAAATCATACGCCGCTGGTTTTTTAAAGAATAAAAAATACATACTAATTGATTGCTCTATTCTGAACAAAAAAAACTGTACCGTTTTCCTGTAAAAGTTCTGTTTACTTCCTCGTTTTACCATTGGTTTATAATGTTTTTCTCATTCGTTCATAATGTGAAACTTCATCCTCAAAATGTTTCTTTTTACCGGAAAACGATTGGTCGAACGACAGAAATAAACGTATAAAAGACGTGTTTTTTTCTGCAGAATTGAACAATCAGTTAAGATGTAGTTTATATTCTTTAAAAAACTAATCGCGTACGATTTTTTTCTTCAAAAATATCCAATATCTTAGTATTATAGACGCCACTGTTAAAATTTCAAAAAAATCAAATTGTTTGCAATAGGCACCTCTTTAAGCCTTCAGTTCGCACAAAGTTTTATTAAATATATCAAACCGTTTGGGGGAAATTTATAATTTCGTTTTTTTTTCAAGTAAAGTTGACGCCTGTACAGGGTTATTGATTGAACTTTGGCCATCCCGTTTTACCATCTAATTTGAAATTTAGAGAAAAATGTCAGTTACAAAAGTTCTAGATATTAACGTTTAGTTTATTTTAAGATAACACCAATTGATACAGGGTGTCTCAAATTCAAGTGGTAGACCAAACTTACCTTTTTTGAAATGGAATGCCATACTTTTTATTACATGTTCAAGCTATTCTTAAAACTCTAGGCTCTAATATAAATATTCTATAGTGATTTTCATCTGTTTTTGAGTTAGTTGTCGACCCCGTTTTTGCTGCTAATTTGAAATTTAGAGCAAAATATTATATACAAAAGTTGTAGATATTGACATCTAGTTTATTTTAAGATAATACCAATTGTGTAGCAAATGTGGGTGCAAAAGGGTGTCTCAAATTCAAGTGCCTGACCAAACTGAATTTTTTATAAATGAAATGCCCGAATAGTTAAATGGTTATTAACTCAAAAACAGTTGAAGATCAACATAGAAAATTTATATCCAAAAGGACTGGAATTTTGCGTATACAGTAAAGTCCGCTTATAATGAACCCGATTATAGTGAACTTTCGGTTAAAACGAACTTTTTTCCTTTAATTGAAACGTCGTCCATAAAGACC